AATGTATTTGTTCTCCTGAAGTATACCAAACACCGCCACGACTGCCACTATCATCCCACATACCGGGGTCACTACATTCAGTACGCGAAGGGTTTCCTGACTATACATAGCAGCTGTTAATTCGTGTTATTAGTATTTAACTACAAATATAATGTCATAAAAAGCCATTAAATTGTACTTACTCCATTTATCGGAGTCCAGAATAAATTTGGACGTATTTTGGTACCACATGATGGTAGATATTAGTGACACCATATACGACACAAACACCGCACATGTTATCACTTTAAATATTAGAAATCTCTTGTGTGAATCAAATGCTGGCAAATACTTGAGAATATTTCCCATTATTATTTAATTAGTAAATTGAATGCTATTTTATAAATTATTGAAATACATGTGTTTGTAAATTGAGACAACACGTGAATTATAGCCTATTCTAGTGACCATTAAGTGTCTGTACTGTAGATAAATTTAAACAGTGAATTCATATATGATTGTTCAGGTCAGAGGTTTTTACTAGTTATTAGTTAGCCAATGATAGCTTCACGTTAGTAATTTATAATTTTGATTAAAGTTTACTAAAAAAATTAGTAAATAGTCTACCTGTTTACTGAACATTGAGGGTTTAAAAAATTTGTAACCTACAGTCAAATAAAACTGAATTTTGTTTTTAATTCATTTAATGACATTTTTTATTTTTAAAACATTTATTTGACTAACAGCTTGACAACCCTGACGGCACCCGATGTGTGAACCAATAGCTCGAGGTTATCATCTTTGGTGACGGTTCCCAACACTTCTTTGCCCTCATCGAGGAACAGGTCATGTACTTCGTATTTGGTCTCTTTAACCGCTGATGGGATCAGTTCAGACACTTTGTGTGATATCTAAGACATGAAACATAAATATGAAAGAAATGCACCGAAAAATGTAAATCATATGAATACATAGATTGGATGACCCATTGGTCTCCTATTCAGATATGTGACCACTTGAGACCACTGGCCATTCACCACAGGCTCCACCGGTTTCACCCACACCTGTGTCTCGGAATTTTTGTCCTAAAAGTTTATAAAATATTTTTCTCAAGACTTCAATCCTATTATACAGTAGTGTTTGCAATGAATCCTTACGCCGATCACTCTCTTAGCGAGGATTCCGTGTTTGTCTTGATTCACAGCAATCAGTGCCTTGTTTTGCAGAATCGCTTTGAATTCCGGTTTCAATTGTCTTAAGTCAGTGGACATGAGTAGTGGTGACGACCACATACACCAAAACGCCATTTGGGTACGACTTTGATGCCACGACAGCCCGGAGTTGCCTATTGTTAGCTCATCTATCCGTTAAACATAACCACAAAATTAATCGTTAATTGATAGCACAAACCTATGATATCCAATACATACCTGGATCAGCCCAATGTCCCGGTCCTGTAATTCATAAAATACTTATTTTATTCTAAGAGGTTATAATACAAACTAAAAGTACAATTCATTTTGGCGTCAATACCGTTATGTTTAGTGAATATATCGTTGTATTGACCGTAATATTGGATAATCTCGTCAATACTGGCCCACGAGTCCAACACATCCTTATAATTGCGAAACGAGTGACACGTCTTAGCGATGGCGTCGTAATCAGGATTAATACCACTGAACACGTACTGGAAGAATGGCCACTCGCACACCAACAACATCTTGTGACCTGTTTGTGGTGATCGCAAAAGTTGTTGAATTCACACAATAGTCAGCAATGTAACTGTAATACCCGTGGCGTTCATAGCCTGAGCCAACTTTGGGTATAAAGTGTCAAACTTTTTATGCTCTTCATTACAACCGTCCACTTTGAATGAGTCGATCCCCCACTCGGCAAATGTCTGCGAGTCCACGTCGAAGTAGTCTTTGCCACCCGGTTCGTGGTTATTCTGACCTGGGTATACGCTAGTGAGTAGAGTAGAGTTGAGTGAGTGAGTGAGAGAGAGAGAGAGAGAGAGAGCGAGAATTTTCAAGTTTTGTGAGTTTCTCTGAATTTATATTTGCAAACAATTTTTAGCAAATTAGGGAACAGGGATCCCAGTAAAAGCTATATTATCATACAAACATGACTTACTTGCTGCATGTAAGGTTCCCGATATCACCATAAATACCAAGCTTAAGACCTTTTGAGTGCATATAGTCTGCCAGAGCTTTGATACCATTGGGAAACCGCTTTTATAAAGTACACCAATTTTGTTGCCTAACACTTGATGTAAAGACTTTTTATTTTTGTTTGATTTCACTTCAAAGTCAAATTTATATGGAGAGAGAGAGAGAGAGAGAGAGAGAGAGAGAGATTAAAACAAATAATTGTCTTTTATCAGAAACTAAAATAATAAAATATTTTATATAAAATATTAGTGGATTTTAAAAGTACCCGGGCACAAACAGCGCTGTATAAATTAGTGTGTAAATATCGGTATAATAAAAAGCCATCAAAAAGTTCTTTTGTTATAATATTGAAAAATAACTTTAACTTAACATTATGTAAGTTTTTATTTTGACAACATGACACATATTAAGACTTCATTAACTAAACCTAATAATATATTGGTACTAAACCTTATAACAAGTTTTGTGAGTTTCTCTGAATTTATATTTGCAAACCATTTTTAGCAAATTAGGGAACAGGGATCTCAGTAAAAGCTGTATTATCATACAAACATGACTTACTTGCTGCATGTAAGGTTCCCGATATCACCATAAATACCAAGCTTAAGACCTTTTGAGTGCATATAGTCTGCCAGAGCTTTGATACCATTGGGAAACCGCTTTTTGTTAGGTATGAGCCGTCGGGTGTTTGGGTCTCTCTTAAGTTCACTCCATCGGTCGTCTATATTGATGTACTCATAGCCCAAGTCCTTAAAGCCGTCGGCGACCAGTCTGTCGGCCATATCTTTATACAACTTTTCATTAACGCATTCATTGGGATATTTGTCACAATTCTCGTCCGTATCGAAAGCAGTGTACGACAGGAAACCCATCGGTGGTGTCAATGCCTGGCCATCGTCTGTCCACCCGTACAGACATTGGGCTGATATTAGGGTCACAACTAGTTTTAAATACATGTTTGATTGGTATATGGACTTTAGGTTTGAAAAAGTAGTATGATTTCTGAATTTGTGTTAACTTTTATATAATTGTGTTGATTATAATAATAGAAAGTATTGAATGTACAGTATGTTTAATCAGGAATGTGTTTATCATTTGCCACCAGCTAAGTTGATAATCACCGGAATATGTGCCTTATGTTTAAAATACAGTACTATTTAACAATCTTATGTTATTTGGTTCACAATATACTAGTACATTTACAATTACTTTATGTTTAATTAATAAACTAGCTTTTGTTTCTATGCATTTGTGGTATTCTACAGTACAGTACTGGATATATTTTATGATAAAATATATTATTCTTATATAATTCTAGTACTGCTAACTTCTATCAATTCTGTATAAAATATACAGTAAAGTTAAAATTGTAGTGTATTATCAGATAAATTTTAATATACAGTAGTACTCAGTACCCTATTGACTATCAATAAATATGCCCTCACGAAAATAAGTGTACTCAAGGTATTACTCAAGGTATAAATAATTCCGGGTCATTTAGAGTGCATTTAATGAATTCTTGATATGAATTAAAATGTTTTATTAAAAATTAAAAACAAGTTATGTATTTTTAAAAAGTTTAGAGTTTAAATTTAAATTTACTAATTAAATTACCAGGTAAACACAATTATTATCTACTGTAGTCTAGGTTAGTCTGCAATGAAGTCTGACACAATTTATATTTATATGTATTTAATACACAATGATTATTAGACACACAAAAGTTATACAACTTTGATAATCTAGTACACTTTGACCCGATATAAAATTGATACTTATTAATTACTCATAAATATTTACATTTAAATTATCTCTTATATCGCTAATTGATAAATTAAACAAGTTAAAAAGTAAGCACTTTATCAAATAAAGCTTAAGTTTTATTTCCTACTTAACGCTTACGAAGTGTTACATAAAACGTATAAAATAACTCTTATTTAAGTCACAATTTGATGAATTAATTTGAAAAACAATTTCATTCACCGAAAAGACAAACAAAAAACTCACAAAAATGTGTCCAAAACTCGTGAACCAACTGAGAAGTGATGTCTAAGAAGTCGCGACACAAACGCACAATAATTATGTAAAAGTCGTGAAAAATCTGTAAAAACTGTAATCTTATGTCAAACGTGAGAGTGAACTGTGAGTCACAACACGTGTGTGAAAACAATGAGTCAATTAGTGATCAATGATTTGGTGGAAGAGATTAGTGACGATAATCAAAGACTGGTCACTGAGTTGGCACTCGAGAGGCAATTGTCTCAAGTGTTGGACAACATAAGAAACAATGCATTAGTTTTGATACAAAACTGTAAATGCGATGAAAATCAACACTTAATACAAACCATTCATCGACTTAATGGTGATTTCATTGAACGCAAGACAAACCACTTCTTGGGATCACATGTACGCACACAGACTGTCGATGAATGTGTTTCAGGTATTTATAGTCATATAAATGTCTTTAAAATGTCTTAATTTGTGGTCATTTCAGGTGATGGTAGCGAAGCGGTCAGTGAATTGAGTCCAACACTCGACTCGAGACAATCGGCGCCCGAGAAGTCGGACCACAGTTTAGCCACTGATATATCGATGGACACGACGACTGATACACACGATTTGGACACAAACTCATCACAGTTTGCGTCCATAGATACTGCAGACATAAAGCCATCGGCCTATCACTGCCATCGATGTCGCCATTCATTTGGCACTATATTTGATCTCAAAAATCACGACAATATCGTCCACAAGAAGCTGATCGCAAATGTCTGCAGACATTGTCAGCGACTGTTCCACACGGCGGGCCAGTTGTCCATTCATTTG